TACTTTATTTACAATAATTTTCCAATATCTATCACTTACGTTAGACAGTCTGTCTCTACTCTAAACCAATCCAAAAGTGTCACCATCCCAGCAGAAGATGGAGGACAAGAAGAAGGAGGAGAACAACAGGACACACCCAAATTCCTCCATCTTGCCTCTTGAACCCCCATTCTAAAACCCCAAAATTCTACTTTTTCACCCTGTGACAAATTAACTATCATTGTACTCAAACTCTTGTGGCTTTTGAATCTTCACACAAAGTTGGGGGGTTTTTTCCATGGAGTAAAATCAAAGGCATGGGTGTTTTTGACTCCGTGCCAAGGTCTCTGAGACCTTTGCCAGGGTCTCGAATCACCCAGGGCAGCCAGAGGAATGTCCTGGGTCCTGCCAGGTGTGGTGTAAACCAATCCGTGATCCAAAGCCCCAGCATTCCACGTGCTCAGAGCCAGCTGTTGATATTTTTTGGCTCTTCCTGCTTTTCCCCTCATCATTCCCTGCAGCTGGGAGGAGAGAGGAGAACATCACTTGTGTGCTGTGGTGACAGGAGTGAGCGCCCTGTCACCCCAAGAACTTGGGTTGGAAAATTCAGAGTTCCTCAAATGCCACTTCTAAAGCCACTGCCTTCTTCAGCACCTCTGGTTTCCCACTTTTCCAGGCTGAGCACATGGAGGGGCTCATGGAGCATTTTTCCAGGATCTCTTTACCCCACACATGCCCACGTGGATGAGGAGCAGGGCTGGGAGCAGGTTTGGCTTTGCATGGAGCTGCAAGCGTGCAGAATGTTCCTTGCTTTGGATTAACCTCCCTAAAGGCAGGGATGCAGTTTATCCCTGAAATTTCCAGATTACAGGACCTTTTACCTGTGCATACAACAGCATTGATCTCATCCTGGGGGAATTGCTCTGTACCTGTGAGCTCTGGAGATGGTACAAATCCCCCAGGATGATCCCTGAGACTGCTGCCTGCAATTTCAGAGTGAAATTTCCATCTGCTCCTTTGATGGATCTGCTCCCAACCAACCTTAACTTAAAGCACACACCTGATAGATTTATTCTTCTTGTTCAACTGCTCCTGTTCCCAAAGTGATTGGGAGATTTGGGATGTAATCCTTCCGTTTGAGAGCATTAGGAGATGGAATGTTATCATTGCTGAAGGCTTGTTTGGAGTTACTTTTCTTCCACTACAGCCTGTTCTGAAGGGGAGAATATGCTGTATTTTTATTTTCTCTCTTTGATTTCATTCCTAATGCTGATGAAGGAGAGACTTGGCAATAGAAGGTGTCTCTCCAAGCCCAGATAAAGCACGGGAGCCACTTCCACACTCCCTGAGGTCCTTGTCTGTTTGCCAGGAGGGAGCTGGCGTGGCAGAGGTGGGTTTGTTCTCCATGGAAAGCAGCAAAATTTTGTGGATGATAACACTGTAGACCCCTCATTTCTTAAGGAAAGAGAGCCAGGATGAATGTGGATGCACACAGAGAGTTTGGGAACTGATTTAGCAGATGCAGGAGGATCCCTGTGGATTTTCCTCCCTACAGTGCCACCACGTTCTGCCTCGTAGTTGTGCATTGCTCTGCTGAGCTCTGAAGGACCACGAGTTTAAATTTTCCAGGCTCTGTTCACAAATATGCTGAGAAAGGAGCAGTATTTCCCTAATTTTATAGGGAGATGGATAACAGGGGTGTAAGCAGGGAGGAGTAGGTGTGCTCAAGGTAATGGCTCCACAAACACTCACAGATCAGACCTGCTGGGTTATTTCTAGAAATTCAAAAAAGAGGGAGAACCTCAGGTAATTCCCATAACTCCACTGGCACAGGGAGCTGAGGAAAGCTGTGAATGCAGCCCAGTCTTTGACAGTGTGCTCTGAGCAGCTGAATTTCGTGGGAGAAGGAGCTGCAGTGCCTGAGAATTCAGTCAGGTTGGCATTTGGGAAGAGGCTCTGTAATTATTGATCTCCTGGTCCCCTAAGAGCTCTTTCTGCCTCTTTCTGTGTGTGTAATCAGCTCCATCAGGCAGCAACATTGTGCTATAACATCAACAGGAGTTTTCAGTGTGGAGCTTGGTGAGTTTAAAGAACTAAATAATACTTGGGAGAGAGAGGGATGAGTTGGCTGGAAAGCCCAGCAGCTATCCTGCTTCTCCTCCTCCCAAATTTCTTTTTGGGAACGATGGGAAATCAGCAGCCTTTTTCCCCAGGGCTGATAAACACATCCCTGAAGTTTCTCTTGATAAAACCACAGATTGGGTTTTTACTTTGTCTTTTTTTTTATAAGTCCTAATGGCAATGTGTGACAACCTCAGGCTCAATTGAGTTGATGAGAAATAAAGTCTTAATAGTGAAGAAGAGTCCAGGAGTGTGTTTAAAGTGCTCATTTTATCACCAGCACATATTTCATACTGACAGTCCATACTTTTAGCTAATCCCAAGCCACGTGTGGTGCATTTTAAATCCCTCCTCAGCCTGCTCTGGTCTTTCCCTCGTAGTGTTTTCCAGGAGAGCAAAGGAGTCACACTGGCAACCTCAGACTTCTGAGCACAGGGATATTTTTAATTCACAACCCATATTTTGAGGTGAGGAGGATGATTTTTGCTCTGTGTCAAGGCAGGGAAGGAGCAGAGGAGCCACTGTGGCAGAACAACTGCTGAGAATCAGGCGTGGGGTGATGGATTTGGCTTTTCAAGAACCCCAGTTGCCATTTTAGGGAGTCCAGTTTGCCATTTCATCACCAGTTATGACTCATAAATAGCCAAAGTAACCACAAAGGAATAAGATTTTGATGCAGTCTTACCTTTGAGGCTGCAGTTTTTTGTGACCAGCCCAAAGCAACATGTCCATGTGTCCACATTTAGGATCCCTCATTTCTGTGTTGCCTCAACACCCTTTGCAGCATTTGACCCCACTTACCCTGTGGCACCCCAAACAAAAAAACCCAGCAAAGCTTGTTTTCCCCACGTGCCCCTTGAAGTTAAGCTGATTTTTAGATTCTGGTGGTGTTCCAGTGAGTGTGTGCTTTGGCATTTCTCTCAGGGAAAGCATTATTAGGGCAGCTCATCTCCTGGCCAGCTGTTTGCAGAAAACTGGTGGCAACTGGAGGATCTTTGCAGCCCCCGTGAGACCTGAAATAGCAGGGACTGGCACACACACCCAGCATGAGCTTCACTTCCTGCAGAGGGCCTGAAAAGGCAGGGGGAAAGAAAGAAAAATAAATAAAATAAAAGAAAAGCTTTTTTAAAATTATTTTTTTGCCTTCAGTTGCATGTTGGTGCTAAATCCTGCTGCTGGGCAGAGCAGTCCCAGAGGCTGGAGCCTCCCATCTGCCCACAGCCGTGTGCTGCCAAGATCCAAGAAAGCTGATTTAGCCTTTTGCTGACTTTTTAGCCCCTTTATCCTCCTGGCTTTCCGAGATTTACGCCGCTGCTGTTTGCCAATGTCATGAATTTCAAATCTGCCTCAGTTTTTAAGCATTCATTCTGCTGTGCAACTGGGTTGTGGGTGACGTTGGTGGGAGGGGATGGCAATCCCATTTAATCATGGGGTGTTAGGTAAGTGACAACAAATTGCTGTGTAACAATAGCCCTGGGGATTGTGCTTTATTACCCCACATATTTCCCCTCTTCATGATGATTTTTCATGGTCAAAATCGAATTTCCCCTTTATTTTCTCTGACATTTACTTGAGTACAACACTGAAAATTCCTCCTGACTTCTCTCTGCTGCAAATTTTCCCTTTTATTTTCTCTGACGTGTACTTGAGTACAACACTGAAAATTCCTCCTGACTTCTCTCTGCTGCTTTAAGGTGAAATTTTTTGCTTTGGCCCATTTCCAGATCTCTCTTTCAGCTGAGATTTGCTTCCTCACCTTCTTTCTGGGAATTCTTGATGAGTAGATGAGAGAGGCATTAAATAGATTTAGTGAAAAATGACCGTCACCAGCGTGGATGACTTTCTTCTAATTAAAAATTGAAACGGAAATGAATGAGCTTCTCTTGAGGCCGTGCAGGAGCTGGTGCTAAGCTGAGCTCTATATTCATCAGTGGTGTGGGAAGTCCAGTGTATGAAAGAATATCCCAGAAACTTCAGTACCTTGGAGGATGCCAATAAAAGGGGAGATTTTCTAGTGACATCATATTGTTGTGGCCTAGATTTAAATCTTTTGGCCTAGAGCTGAGGCAGAGCTGAATTTCATAGGATCACAGAATGGTTTGGGTGGGAAGGGACCTTAAAACTCATCCAGTGCCACCCCCTGCCATGGGCAGGGACACCTTCCACTATCCCAGATTGCTCCAAGCCCCATCCACACTGGCATGGGACACTTCCAGGGATTCAGGGGCAGACAAAGCTTCTCAAGGCCTCCCCACCCTCATAGGGAACAATTTCTCCCAGGAGGTTCCCAACACATCCTAACTTCAGCATCTTTGCTTTGATGGACGGTGTTGACTTTTCCAGCGTTGGCCAGAAATTCCCTCATGTACAGCCAGCCAGTTAATCATAACCAACACGAGTGCGTTCCCTTTAAACTTTCTCATGCAATGAATCCAAATTTTCCAGCAGGAAATGAAAGCAAAACACTTCATCTAAAAATTCCTCATCAGCTCTAGTCACCAGAGCAGAACAATGGCGATTACACTCAGTTATGCAGTGCAAATTCCCAGCACCGCTGCGTCCCGGGATCACAGCAGGGCGGGCACGGAGAGCAGGTCTACATCACCTCCTCTGCTTTGGGTGTGAGGAGAGGTGAGCCTTTAAGGTGGGAAAAACAGGGATCCAGGTCCAGGGCTGAGGAGGTTGTGTGGTCTGGAGCAACCCTACACAACCCTAATGAAGAGCAGAGCGCCTGGAGAAAGCTGTGTGTCCACATCTCATGGATCCCGTTGCCTTCTCAGGTGACACCCCAGAGCTTGTTCTTCAGAGAGAGGACAATTGCTTTTAAATCTAACCATGTCTTAGGTCACTGATGGGTCATTTTGGTTGTGTTGCCTGACTGCGTGGTTGTTCTCTTGTAGGAATGGCAGAGCTTCACCCTCCCAGCAGCGATGAGAGAGACTGACAGCGCTACGAGTCCCTCCTGGCTCCGTCTGCACAGCGGCTGCTGCCTCTGCATATTCATCGGATGGTAATGCAGGATGTCGGCGGCAGCGGTGGAGTTTGGCTCTGTCCCACTGCGTTTTTCTTCTGCCGGTTGCGACTCTGAATCACCATGACAACGCCGTGACACTTCCAGCAAAGGTTGCCCGCGGACCAAGGGTGGGCTGGGGGTGGGCGAGAAGGTCAATGATCGAGTCTAACGGGATCAGAAGTTGCGCCTGCAGCAAAACGACCGTGGAAGAGCCGCCGGCACGGCAAGAAGATGAAATTCCCCTTCCATTGGCTTCTTGTTGAGCAGGCACAATAACATTTCCCTTCGAGAGACTCGCTGTAAAAACTCTTTTGGTTATGGCTACTGATCCAACGTGATTGCGCGCGCGGCGGCTTCGGAACTCATGACTGGCTATACGATGTTGCGCAATGGGGGAGTGGGGAACGGAGGCCAGCCGTGGGTGTTGAGGTGGTCCAGTCGGATCCGGCTCACCTGGCTTAGCTTCACCCTCTTCGTCATCCTCGTTTTCTTCCCCCTCATTGCCCACTACTACCTGACCACCATCGACGACGCGGACGATGCCGGCAAGCGCATCTTCGGGCCCCGCACCGGCAACGAGCTGTGCGAGGTGAAGCACGTGCAGGACCTGTGCCGCATCCGCGAGTCGGTCAGCGAGGAGCTGCTCCAGCTCGAGGCCAAGCGGCAGGAGCTCAACAGCGAGATCGCCAAGCTCAACTTGAAGATCGAGGCCTGCAAGAAGAGCATTGAGAATGCCAAGCAGGACCTGCTGCAGCTGAAGAACGTCATCAGTCAGACTGAGCATTCCTACAAAGAGCTGATGGCCCAGAACCAGCCCAAGCTCTCCTTGCCCATCCGTCTGCTGCCAGACAAGGACGACGCGACCTTCCCCCTGCCAAAATCCAACAGGAACTGCAGGCTGCACAACTGCTTTGACTACTCGCGCTGCCCGCTGACGTCTGGCTTTCCAGTCTATGTCTACAACAGTGACGATTACCCTTTTGGTAGTTCCTTAGACCCTTTAATTAAACAGGCCTTTGAGGCGACTGTCAGAACTAATGTTTATGTTACTGAAAATGCAAATATTGCTTGTGTGTATATAATTTTAGTGGGGGAAATGCAAGAGCCCGTAATGCCAAAACCTACTGAACTAGAGCAACAGTTGCACTCTTTGCCATATTGGAGGACTGATGGACACAACCATCTCATCATCAATCTATCGAGGAAGTCGGAAACTCAGAACTTCATTTACAACATCAGCACGGGGCGCGCCATGATCGCCCAGTCCACCTTTTACGACGCCCAGTATCGACCGGGCTTTGACATCGTGGTATCACCTCTGGTCCACGCCATGTCCGAGCCCAACTTCCTGGAGATCCCGCCCCAGGTGCCGGTCAAGCGTAAGTACCTGTTCAGTTTCCAGGGGGAGAAGATCGAGTCCCTCCGCTCCAGCTTGCAGGAGGTTCGCTCTTTCGAGGAGGAGATCGAAGGCAACGCCCCGGCCGACTACGACGACCGGATCATCACCACCTTGAAGGCTGTTCAGGACAGCAAGCTGGACTTTGTTCTGGTGGAGTTCACGTGTAAGAACCAGCCTAAGGCGAGTCTGCCCACTGAGTGGGCTCTGTGTGGAGAAAGGGAAGACAGACTAGAGCTACTGAAGCTTTCTACTTTTGCACTGATCATCACCCCCGGGGACACCCGTTTAGTGATCTCCGCCGGGTGCACCATGAGACTGTTTGAGGCTCTGGAAGTCGGGGCCATCCCGGTGGTTCTCGGAGAGCAGGTTCAGCTACCCTACAACGATGTGATCCGGTGGAACGAGGCAGCCTTAATTATACCAAAGCCACGTATCACAGAAGTGCACTTTCTTCTGAGAAGCATTTCTGACAACGATCTCCTTGCCATGAGGAGGCAGGGCCGCTTCTTGTGGGAGACCTACTTCTCCACCTCCGACAACGTCTTCAGCACAGTCTTAGCTATCATAAGGACTCGAATCCAAATCCCGGCTGCTCCAATCCGAGAAGAACCCGCCGTGGAGATCCCCCACCGCTCTGGCAAAGCTGCTGGCACAGACCCCAATATGGCAGACAATGGTGACCTGGACTTGGGGCCCGTGGAAACGGAGCCACCCTACGCCTCTCCCAAATATCTCCGCAATTTCACCCTCACCGCGATGGATATCTACAGGAATTGGAATTCTGCCCCGGGGCCTTTCCACCTCTTCCCCTACACTCCCTTTGACCCCGTTTTACCATCAGAAGCAAAATTTTTGGGGTCTGGGACTGGTTTTCGACCAATTGGTGGAGGAGCAGGTGGCTCTGGGAAGGAGTTCCAGGCTGCTTTGGGTGGCAACGTCCCGCGGGAGCAGTTCACGGTGGTGATGTTGACTTACGAGCGGGAGGAAGTGTTGATGAACTCCCTAGAGAGGCTCAATGGTCTCCCCTACTTAAATAAAGTTGTGGTGGTGTGGAACTCCCCCAAGCTTCCCTCCGAGGATCTCCTGTGGCCGGACATTGGCGTCCCAATCATGGTAAGACAGATGTAGCTACAGTGGGCTTCTCCATGGTGGGGTTTGCATGTTGGAGTTGGCTGTGTCTGCTGAGCTTCAGTCCTGGGGGATGGTTGAAAGTGTCTGTACCTCTTTTGGATACTTTTATCGGTGGAAATAAACAAGAGGTGCCAGGTATTGGCACTCAGAGAACGCAAATTGCTTTTGAGGAGCCTAATGTGAATTTTGGTGCTTAAAGCTAAAGATTGTTGCTCGTTGGAAATCTTTGCTTAGGCTCTTTAAGTGCCTCCCTGTGAGGACGGTTGACACCTTATAAATTCCTAAGTAGTAACTGTTTCTGCACTTTGCCAGATGAATTTTTTATTAAAACAAAAGAGGGACCCTCTGAATTAGTGTCGGCTGCAAAGGCCTCAAAACTCAATTCTCACTTTATGTTACAAGGGATGGCAGAAAAGGAATTACAAGCCAAGGCTGACGTGACTGTGAGAGCTTCCATGCTCCCAAGGTTGTAGCTGACTTTTGCATATATTTGAGTTGATTATTTTTTCTCCTCGGCCAAACTGAAGAAGTGACACCTTCAAAAGCCAACATTCATTTTCAGACCCATGAAAATGTACTCACTTGGACATTGGCTTGAAAGGAGTGATTTCTACCCCAAATTTTTATTTATTTTAGGTCTTCCTTGTCATCCCAGCATAACCTGCTTCACTGGCCGTTGTTAAAAATCAAAATTAAATATAAATTTCTCCTCATAAAGAGAGCAAGGGCAGAGAGCTACTAACAAGAACTGAGTGCTCTGAATCTGCTTGTGTTTAGAGGACAAATGGAAGGATAATGCCTTACAAATTAGGGAAGGGAAAAATAAAAGAGGGAGATGGTGCTTAAATACACAAACTGCGTGTGGTTTATGTGACAGGACTCTACTGAGCTTAATAGCAATGCGAGCTTTATGCTGCATGCAAAGAGATTCATTGATTTAATATTTCCTTTTATTATTATTGTGATGAATAAATCCTTCTGCTCACATTTAAAAACCCTTATGGTCCGGGAACAATGAGGAGAGAAAATTGCCCGGTTAATTGCGAAATAATCTTTCACATTAGCGCTTTTGAACCTGTGAATTCTACAAAATCTTTGCATTGTGTCTGCCGAAAAAAAGGAGGGGGATTGTTCTCCTTGGAGCTGCTAATGGGTGTTATTTGTGAAAGAAAAATGCATTTGTGTTGGTGGAAGATAATGGCTTTTTGTACCTGGCTCTCATCTGCACATCTGTTGTGTCGGAGCCCTGCTGGGTTTTTGGGGACTTGACACACACGAGTTGCTTTGTGTCACCTTCGAGCCACACGCTGGGGGGAATGTTGGGAACCAACATTTGGGAACATGTGTGCTTCCAGAGGAGGGAATTGTGGTGTGGGGAGGTGGATGGGGACACTGTGGAGTGGCTGGGTCACAGAGAGCTTCTGCCAGCTCCTTTCTGAAGGGCGTGGTGGTCTGATAACAGACCTGCTCTGCTTTCTCCCTGTTTTTCTAAACCCCAGTTTTTAAAAGAGCCCAAATCTGGGATTTCTCACAGGAGGGTTAACCCTGAGCAGCCTCCAGGCATCCATCCTGCTAAGCCCATCTCCAGACTGGGTGTTTAATCCTGTTGCGAGTTTGTACCATTCCTCTCTAAGGATGGTTTGGTGTGGCAGTGATGGAAAACTTCCCTGGGCTTCATCAGACAGTGAGAAATCCCAAGGTCTGCTCTGGAAAAGGGTGACAAGAACATTGGGAGCAGATGTTGGACGTGGGATTGGCAGGAGACACAAGCCAGTGTGTGTGCCAGTGTCAAAAGAAAGTGAGGAGCTGTGATTCTGATTTCCTTATGAGGGGGAAAAAAGCTCTTTTGATGGGGAATATCCAATTCTCTCAGATCTGCCAGCGCTGCTGCATCTCTGTGTAACAAATACATTCCAAATGACTTTGGGATGCAAGGAATTGCTCCGTGTTCAGGTCCCAAAGCGCAGAGCTTTGTGGGGAAACTGGGGGGGAGAAGAGAAGGGGATGAAGGTGGATTTGGGCTGTGATTGAAGCAGGTCCAGGCACCACCTGGCTCTGAGGAGCAGCACAGCAGCAGCACACGCGTGCCAGCGTGAGCCAGGATCAAAGCACCTGGAGGCAGAAGGTCACTGGAGAAAACCCAGCCTCAGAAAAGTGTGGAAGTGTTCAGTGAGTCCAGAGGAGGACAGGGAGCTGCTCTGGAGCAAGGCTGAGATCTGGGGGTGTTCACTTGGGGAAAAGAGGGATCCAGGGAGAGCTCAGAGCCCCTTCCAGGGCCTAAAGGGGCTCCAGGAGAGCTGGAAAGAGACTGGGGACAAGGGATGGAGGGACAGGACACAGGGAATGGCTTCCCAGTACCAGAGGGTGAGGATAGATGGGAATTTGGGAAGGAATTGTTCCCTCTGAGGGTGGTGAGACTCTGGAATGGAATCCCCAGAGCAGCTGTGGCTGCCCCTGGATTCCTGGAAGTGTCCAAGGCCAGGCTGGACACGGCTTGGATCAGCCTGGGATGGTGGAAGGTGTCCCTGTCCATGGCAGGGGTTGGCATGGGATGATCTTTCAGGTCCCTTCCAACCCAAACCACTTTATCATTTAATATAAATTACAAGCTAATGAGACAAAGCAATGTCTGTAGCACATTAAAGTGCCTTTGGAAGCAAAATAAAGCCCTAAACCCCACAAGGGCCTGCTGGTGGCAAGAGATGTGTGGCTCTGGGCTGGCAGAATTCCCCAAAGGAGAGCTGGACTTCTCCTTACTCCACGTGTTGACCTTATTTATTGATGTGTTCCTTGAAACATTTGCAAACTGCACTGCTTGGCTGGGATTTGGGGCTTGTCCTCCCAAGCAGATTTCTTTTCCCTGATGGCTTGGGAATTAATCAAGAGCCAAGCTCAAAGCTACGTTGGAACTTTGAATCTTTCATGGATAACAAGATAAACAGGGCTACAGAATATATTTGACTTTTTAAAAAAAACTTAAATATAGATGGCATAATTTACTAAAACATCAGTAAGATTCCTAAGCTGCACAGGAGTCTGATCAGATATTCTGTCCCTGTCCCCAGCCTGAAGTGAGTAGGTGGAAATCCAACCTAATGTGGTTTGTAGTCACTCAGGCTGCCCCTGGAACAGATGTAGGCACTTTACCCTCACATTTAAAGCTGTAAAAACTCTTCCCATCTCACGTTAATCGGTATTGCAGCAAAACCCAAAGGCTGTGAATGAGAAATCTTGTTTGTGCAAGCTCAAAAACTGACTTTTCCCCAAGTGTTTGTATCTCTGGCACTGCCTTAGGAGAACTCTCCAGGGCAGGAGTGTGACAGTTCCAGCTCCAGCAGCCACATCACAGCCACTGCTGAACTTCTTTGTTGCCCAGAGGAGCTGTGCCTGGATCCCTGGAAACATTCCAGGCCAGGTTTGGAGCAGCCTGGGTTAGTGGAAGCTGTCCCTGGGTGAGTTTTAAGGCCTTTCCCACCCAAACCATTCTGGGATTCTGTGATTTGGGACTAAACCTCATTTAGCCCACAGCAATATTTTCCCAACCTCTGCTCACATTCGAAGAATTGCCAGCCAGAACTTCCAGCTCCTCTCCCTCTGCTGGGTTTGTGAGGTCTCTCAGTGGCTGGAAAAGCCCTGCAGCAGTTTGGTTTCTCCTCCTGCTCGGGGCTGAGGTGGGCTGGGAGTGCTGGAGGCATCTCTGAGCGCTCGGGCTGGGTTCAGTGCCAGCTCCTGCGGCTGCCAGCAGTGACTAATCCCTTCCTCCAGCTTTGTTCCACAATAAGTCTCTGCCTTTGATCCCTGCAGCCACTTCCAGTGGTGTAACATCCTTTGCTGCTGGCCTGGTGGCTGGCTGAGAGGGCTCATTCCATTTAGCTGCTTGTTTGAAAAGGAATCATCTGTGGCAAACAGCTCATCCGGAGGCTGCCGGCTCGGCCGAGCTCTTGGGCTGCACACGGGTCCCTTGACATGGCATTTATTAATCAGGAGCAGGGAATGCTGTCCTGACTTTCCCTTCTCTTTGGGCTGTGTGAATGTGCTGTGCTGAGCTGGCTCTGAATGCAGAGCCTGAGGTTTGCACGTCCTTTCCAGCAGGACTCCAAGGGTTTTTCCATAGCTCCGTTTTAAGGAGCACGGCAGGGTCTGTGGCTGATGCTTCTGGCTAAGAGAGGAGGAGGGCAGAACCTGGACAGGCTGGTGGCCATGGTGGCAGAATGAGCTTCTCTGCTTGTCCTTCGGCTGGATCCTCAAGCTTGGCTTTCTGAAAAGAGCAGCACCACCCTTCCAAACTGACCAGCAGAGGTGAGCTGCAGTGGTGTGTGATCCAGAGTGAGATCATCACACTGGCCAGGAGTTAAAAAAGAGAATAAAACCTCCATGCTGATCAACCATTTCAGTCGATCCTTTTCCTTCATGGGAGCTTTGCCTAAATGCCAGCTCAGGGTCTGGTTCAGCTTGGTAATTCAGCATTTACCTTGCTGATGTGACTTTTGCTTTTCTGGCCCAACTCACCTGCAGAAACTCTTTGGTGAGTCCCAACCACCATTTCAGTCAGTCCTTTTCCTTCATGGGAGCTTTGCCTAAATGCCAGCTCAGGGTCTGGTTCAGCTTGGTAATTCAGCATTTACCAAACTCTTCCTTGCTGATGTGACTTTTGCTTTTCTGGCCCAACTCACCTGCAGAAACTCTTTGGTGAGTCCCAGCTTTATCCTCCTTTTCCCTGCTTTACTTTGACTCACAGCTCTTGTATTCCAAATCAGGAAAAACCCAACTTTGCTTTGAGGTCCTGGATTGCATATGGGAGTGGGGAGCTCCAGGTTCACTTCCAGAAGGAACAATTCACACAAAACCAGCTGAGAAAATCCCTGTTTTTAGCACCGAGTCACTTTCCACAGGAGAATTGCCCCATCCCTGGGTTGAACAGTCTGTGTTCAGTGCACCAGCACTACCAGCAGTGTGTCCCAGGTTTGTGAGCTCAGTTTCTC